TACGTCATTTTTTATAGTTCAGTTGGTTATTTCTATTTAATCGTAATTTAACGAGCGCGTTTTTTATTTATGTTTTTTAGCCATAAATAATTTAGTAGTGGACCTGTTTGATATAGCATTCGAAACCTGAAGGCATCATTAAATTCTACGTACTTTTCTACATAACCAATTTTTTTTAAAGTTGAATGAGTTATTTCCATGTACATAATTGCAATTTAACGAGTGCTTTTTCTGCTTAAGTTGTTTTCACTCTGACCTTTCGTTATTAAGTTGTGTAACATGAAATGAGGCTTGAATGTTTATTATGTAATTATTATTATTTATGTATATCCGCTACTCACTTTTGCGATATATGTATACAAACAAGAGAACGTTTTCAAAGTCAAGTTCAACTTTCTCTCCATGAACCTATTATGTTCACTTTAATTGCAAGTTTATTATTCATACGACAACAGAATGAGAACACAATTAACGAAAGAAAGTTTATGTCTGCTCCAAAACGGCTTCATTTTTCGTTTACCTACTTTATTTTTGAGAAATAAAAAGAGCGAATGAAGTCATGTTAATAAAAATAAAAGATTGGAATAGACCGAAAATATAGGTAATCTACAAAAATAGAATTAATTCTAGCATTCCTCATTCTATTAAAATTTTCAATAATTATGTACAAAGCATCCCCCACCCTACCGACTTGAGGTAAAATTAACAAAAAAAGATTTTTTAAGGAACTCATTCTTTTGGTCAAAAATTCACATTCAAAGGTAGAATGAAAAATTAAATTATCTTAAAAACTAATAGTTATCGGTTAGGGTAGCACATGGCAAAATCGATCTCAAATGAGCTCTCCTTTAACTCCTTCAAGGGAATGTATTAAATTTCTTGTAATTCTGTCCTTTTTTCTTGAATTTTCTCTATTGACCCATACAACCAAGATATAAGATAACTCAACCCCTTTCTTTGTTCTCTTCGAGTAGGTATACTTACGTAATTTCATTGTATTAATTTGTAGTCTTTGTATGAGAAATATTAGCAGAGCAATGATTACAAAGGCCAATTCGAATATAGTTAGTAAGAAAGATGGAAATGCTTCAATTTTGGAGAGGATATTAAAAAAGACTGGAAGCAGCAAAACTGCTGCAGTTTTAGCATTAGATCTACTTCTCGTTGGAGTGGACACAGTAAGTAGATGATTAAAAAATCAAATGAGTTCAAAAGGATCATTTTTTGTTTGTTTATTATTATTATGCATCACATTCATATTTGTTCTCTTTAAGGCCTTTAATAAAATTTATGTATGTTCCGCAACGGCTTTATGAATTTTTGGATATTTTTTAGTACTTTTTGTAATATTTTTACAATTAGTATCTATAGTTGGGGAGTTGATGTGCAAAAAACATGTCTTTCCAATCTTGTGTTGCTGGGTCACTAGTTTTTTGAGTAATTTAGAGCATTTTTCTTATATGATACATAGGCAGAATCTGGTCCTATTTCGCGATAAAGGAAAAAGGGGCAAAATTGTAAAAAATGTCGGCTTAACCGCTTGGTTTTGACGATATAATTTGCTTAATGTATTCTACATTCTGGGAAAAATAGTAACGGACAAATAAAAGAATATGGAGTAACCAAAACTTATTTAAGTTTAAGTAATTCCATAAATATTTATAAAAATGTAATTCATCTTTATTTCTTTTCTGACCGCTTATTACATCGTCCGCTGTCATGACCTGGAGCTCCAGAAATATTAACAGATAGATTATTATTAATTATTATCAATGATAATATTAATTAATAATTTTTCAATTCAGGTAAACCCATTGTATGGCCAAAGTTCATCCGATCGTCAACTCTGGCAGTTTCTACATGGGTAGGCCTACATTCTCTTCGATTTCCCCACTCACCCCCTTATTAAGAAATGAGCATATATAGGTATCATAAGAAAAGTGCTCTACATTACCTTAAAAAGCTGATGTTTTGTTTTTATGTTCTAACTAGCAAGAAAATTACTTAATTGTGCTATTGGCAAAGAATGATCCTTCAAAATACAAGTTCTTTCTAATTAATAAAAAAAATGAACGTAATTGTAAATTTTGATAAATTTAGACGTCGATAGCAGTAGCTTCAACCCTGTATCAGCTAGCAATCAACCCTGAAAAACAAGAAAAACTATTTAAAGAGCTTAATGAAGCACTCCCTGATTCGGACACTGCAATTAACGAAGCAGCTTTGGAAAAGTTTCATTATTTAAAGGCATGCATTAAGGAAACATTAAGGTTTGTACAAATAAGAAAAACGTTTCAGGTTGTTCATATGGTAGTTAGAAAGCAAAAGTATTTTTTTAAACAGCACCACGCACCTACGTAAACAGGTTTATTGTCAAAAATTATTTTTCTTTTTCGTTTTTTCGAGCTAATCATGAAGCATATCTAATACTGACTAACATGGATTAGGAATGTAAAATGATTAATGCAGAGCTTTTTGAGGCATTATAGGGGGTACTGTTACTCTGCGTGGATTGGCGTAGCTAGGGAGTTTTTTACGGAACCACCGCAATAATCCAATCTTGGTAATTCAATTAGAAGTTAACTCTTAAAATGTTTTATTTGTTGTTTAAGTTTAGCCTAGGGAGGATGGCAAAATAGTTTTACGAGGAATATTACTGAATTTTTTTCTCAAAATAAAAATAATGAAAAATTCATATTTCTTCAATATTGTCGACTTTTCTGGGGTGGATAATGAGTTTTGGTGTGTAGGAACTACTCATCCTAGCTACGCTTATGTTGTTCCATATCCTCTGAGGTTCCAACGTAGTTAGTAACAAGTGGTGTTGAAATCAGGCCCTAAAATTGCCTGAATACGTTAGAATTTCAAAATATTCTAATTTCAAATTCTCGAAAAGGCCAAATTGTTTTCTGTTTTGAGGGTAGGACACCTTAAAATTCTAACGTGCTGAATGAATTCTGAAGCTAGATTCGGACTTGGTGTCACGTATTGCATTAGAAATGACCACCCTCTTTAATAATCCCTCCGATTTTGTTGGTCTGTGAATTGGTGATATTTTTGCCTTGCTGTTATTATAATGTAACTAAACTTTTAAAAAAAAAACTCTAACGACTAAATTTAGATTTGTTTTACAATTTGAAGGAGTACTTTAAAATCAATATCAGAAACTGAAAATTACTTTGTTAGATCCACTAACTTTATATGTAGGTACCTATTTAATTAAATATAAAACAAAAGGGGAAGTATTACACTACGTTTCGAACTTCTTGTTCCATTATAACTGTTAATATTGCAGAATGTACCCTGTAATAATTGGAAATGGACGAAGTTTAACTTCTGATACAATTATAGAAGGATATATGGTACCAAAAGGGGTGAGCGTTTTTTATTTTCTTCTTGTATTCCAAATTCAAAGAATATCTCACTTCAAAAAGCATATGTGAAATATTAATAATTAATAAAAGATTGATACCCCTTTCTTTTTTCGTTATTTAGACGCATGTTATATTTCCGCATTTGGTTGTAAGCAATATCACAAAATATTTCAAAAATCCTAACGAATTTTTACCTGGCCGGTGGTTAAAATTGAAAGAC